ACGAGAGAGAGAGAGAGAGAGAGGGAAGGAGAGAGGCCTGGGCTGGGGTTGGGGTTTTTTGCCCCTGGAGAGAGAGAGAGGCCTGGGCAGGGGTTGGGGTTTGTTTGCTCCTGGGGAAGGAACGGGGGCGGTTGGTGGGGTGAGAGAGAGAGAGAGATTAATATAAGCTTCCAAAATTCATGTCCGCATTAACAAAATCCATGCATATGATGTATCACATTAAAATTGCCTTATCAGCTGCATATTATCAGAGATTAAAAGGAGAGACTGAAACCAGGAAGGAATGAAAACAGGGGAATCCTGAAGGAAATGAATATTAAAGAAGATAATATAGAAAGATAGATTTGAAAAATACTAAAGAAACCAAAAAACAAAAACGAAAGCAATAGTAAATACAGAAATAGGAAAAACAGAAGGTAAAAATAGATCAAATAGGCAGCAAACGAAGCATTTTACTAAAAGATACCCATGCATGCAAAACACACACACACATATACAGAGAGAGAGAGAGTCTGATTGTTTAGAGGAGTCTTACGGATTGAAGGATAGAGCCTGATTGTGGTGCATAGACACTGTTTTTTCTACCACAGATGACTTCGAGAACCAGCACCCCAAAACTATAAACATCTGCCTTCTCTGTCAATTGACCCCGAACAAGATATTCGGGAGCCATGTAGCCACTGCATTCAATAAAAGACCATCACAAAGGTACCAGAAATATAAATTTAGAGAGAGAGAGAGAACGGGGGCAGGGCGAGATGCTTACAGTGTTCCTGCTATCCCAGTGCTGAGATGAGTCTTGTCATGTGAAAAGCATCGGGCAAGCCCAAAGTCTGCAATTTTTGCTTCTAATTTCTCATCAACCAATATATTGCTTGACTTTATGTCTCTGTGAATTATTCTAAATTTTGATCCTTCATGAAGGAAGGCCAAGCCTTCAGCAGCACCTACTATAATCTTGTATCGTTGTTGCCAACTTATCACCTGGGTCTTATTCTTTTCTGCAATCCACAAGAACAAACAGAGATGATGATAAAAACGCCAGAACCGGAGATATTGGGTGAAAAATGAAATAACAATAGGACAAATTCTGTGTTTGCTTTCATTTGTAATAGAAACAAGAAATAACAAGAGAACAAGAGAAAAACCCCTTGAAAGTGGGAAAAAGCGGAAAAATAATATACCTAAGGAAATCCTGCTAATTCAAAACAATGTGTACATCTGTGTGTGTGAGAGAGACAAGGGTTTCCATTGGGAAACCAAAAGAAAAAATAAAAATATTTAACTCTGCTAATATAAAACAAAATGGGGGTTTAACCTGGTAACTTAACAGAACAGTGCTTGTTGTGGGAACCTGGGTGAAGTGTGTTCAACCCAGCTAAACTATGAAGAGAAAAGTAAAATAACAAAAAAGGAAATTTAAAGAGAAGAAGAAGAGGACCCCATGGAGGAAGAAGCACAGAAATCCATTATTGAAAAATAATAGTTACCAAATAGGAATTGATCGAGGCTTTTGTTGGGCACGTATTCATAAACCAGAAGGCTTTCAGGGCCCTCAATGCTACAACCCAACAACCCAACCAGATTCTTGTGTTGAATCCCACTGATGAGGTTCACTTCATTGAAGAACTCATCAACCCATTGCCTTGTATTGAAGAAGAGCCTCTTCACAGCAACAATCGTTCCATCATGGAGAACCCCCTGCATGTTCGAATAAAAATCTACTCTCAGCTCTCTACATAAGATTTATACAGTATTTACACTACTCAGAAAGATAATTTAAATAAGCAATCAATAAATTTCTATAGATGGACGATCCATCCAAAGGAATCCGTATACATATTGTTCATTAAATTTAACCACGAAATACAGATGCATGTGCACACACACAAACACACACACAAACATACACACATACAAATAACCATATAGGGATAGACTATTAGATATCATTATTAGCAACAAAGGATTGCAACGAGAACATGAGTTGCAGAAAAAAAAGTTTATCACTTAAGATGCTAATACCTTATACACCGAACCTGATCCTCCTTGACCTAATTTCATCGAAGGAGAGAAATAATCAGTGGCTTTCTCAAGAACTTCATATTTGAAGTTCAGACAGGATTTACTAAGAGTGGTGGACAGTCTGCCAAGATCCTTGCGCTCTGAACACAGAAAATAAGAATTTTTTTTTGAGAAAGACTTAACATTAGTATCACAAAAATCATATTATCACAGAACAAAGACAAAATGTTGAATTAACATCAATTGAAGAATTTGTACACTGATGGTTTTAAATATTTGTGTATCTGAGCATACACACGCATACACGTGTGTGTGAGTGAGAGAGAGAAGAGAGAGAGAGAGCGAGAGAGAGATGTTATACCTTTCCTTCTCTTTGATAATTTGTTATGTGCTACATAAACCCCAAAACTAACAAACATCATGGCAACGAAAACCGACGAAGCTATCGCTAGTATAACAGCCAAATTTGGTCGACCTAATGAATGGCCAGGAAACATTACATTAGTTTCATGCTCAATAAGCTGAATGAGAACCATCAGAATGCCCAATTCTGTGTGTTCTCCACTAGGGAAATAAAGTACAGAGTGGAAAAGGAATACCCACCTCATGCAAGAAAATTTTAGAGAAATATTTGTCATACAAATATGTGAGTGTCCCCCCAACCATGAAAATAAATGAGATATGCCTATCTCAAACAGAGAATATAGACATTCTGCAACTGCAACTATTTTGGGCGAAGAATTGGGACGGAAAAAATACAGGTAATCTCAAACAGAGCAACATAAATAGAAAATAAAAAAACTTTCATGAATCTCATTAAAAACACTAAATTCGCCTTTAACAAGAACTGGTGAAGGGCAAACCATGAAATTCTCAATTCAGATAGAAGTCCAAATCAATCTTCATGGTACTTCAAGCTAATTCTAATTTTTTAAATTAAATTAGTTTATAGAAACCCAATATGTCAATTTATAATTAAAGAAAGTCCCAATAAAAATGAAATTAAAGATTCACAACAGCTGCACTTCGTAATCTTTGGGGAAAAAAACAAAGAAACAGAATAAATTATGAAGAGAAAAGGCATCAATGGTAAACAAAATAATGTAGAGGCATGAATCTCTGTATAATACATTCATCAAAAAATAAAAGAAGAAATGGGAAGAAAACAACAGCATGCAGTGATCTGTACACGGGCACCTGAGATCTAAAACAAAATTCAAAATATTTAAAACTAAATCATTTTATTCAGAAGGGAAAATAGGAAAGTTTATAAAACCTAAATTTACTGCCCCCAGAAAAACAAAAATTTCAAAACCAATTCATTTTAATTCCAGAAAGATCAGAAATTAATGTCGCAAACACAAACTTAATAAAGATTCAATATCATACATAACAAGGCCAAAATATAAAACAGAAAAACCAGATGCGACGGAGTGACCAATGAAACCTATCCATCGAAGAAAACTAAGAACAATGAAGAGAGAGAGAGGGAGATTATCACTCACCTCCACCATCTCCCCCGCCTCCGCCCTCATCATAAAAATTTTCGGTGGAGTATCTCATATAACACCCTGTAATCAACGCCCTCGCCTCCACCGCATCTGAGCACCCCCTCAGCTCCTCTGCCGCCTTCTCCAGACACTGCTTACAACTCCCCATACTCAAACTCCGCCAACACTGCCCCAAAGCATACACTGCCGGCGCGGCAACATCCCCCTCTCTCTCCGCCACGCAAAACCCCCCATTCCCAACCGCCCCCAAACTCACATTCCGCACCACGTCCTCCACTCTCCTCTTAAACTCAGAGGTCGAAAAGCCAAGTAATTTATTCGGACCACAAACTGTGAGATCGTCTCCTCCGAACGACTCATTGAAGAAGCTGTAGTTATCGTATCGCAGAAAGCAGCCATCGAGAAATATCCGGGCGCTGTTCGACGGGAGGCAGGCGGGGAGCTTTGTCCTGCACTCTGCAAAACACAAGAGGCAGTCGGTTGGAGAGAGATCGTTCATGCATTGCGCGAGAGCATACACTCGAACCGTTGAGCTGTTTCCCGAGGAAACCGAAGTAGAGAAGGGGGAAGGGCCGATCTGTTTGTTGAGGGATTCCATGGCAGAGACGAAGCTCTGAATAAAGGCGGCGGCGTTGGAGGAGCGGGAGGGGTCGCAGATTAGTGCCGCTCGGTTTATGCGGGGGTCGGATAATGAGATTCCGACCAAATTGAGGAGGAGGAAGAGGTTCAACTTGCCCGGAAAATGGAGATGCATGCCGGAAAATGGGTGGGTTGGACGGAGAAGCTGGGGGTTGTGTGTTCGTTCTCTTCGTTTTGATTTTGTTCGCTTTGCAGCTTGTTGGCAGGGGAAGGCACTGAATTTGAATGGAGGAATGTTAGAATTTTTGGGCTTAATTTTTGATGAGAGGTGGCGGCGGTGGAGATGGGTTGAATCATGGAAGATGGTGAGGACATCTGGCCATTGCCGTTTTTATTAGTGAAATGGTAAAAGGGCGGCCGACCAAATGAAAGCAAACTTCTGATTTGTAAGTACAAAAAAAAATCCCAAAAAAATAAGGGATTTGTTTGTAATGTGGATTTTAATATTTTTTATCATTTTTGCAAAGATCGGAAGGTGTTTTGGCTACGAATACTTGATTTCTCTTTCTTTTTTTCGATTTTTTTAAATTTATTTTTTTTATTATTTTTTAATTTTATTTGGATTTGTTTTGTTTAATTATGCTTTAAATATATATTTTTTATTTTTTTAATATATTTTGGACCGATTCGATTTTTAAAATTTTGACTCGAATTGCCAATTCAGGAGGAGACTTATTTTCGAGATGATATGGGTCCCGACATGCTCCAGTTAAAACCCTCCTTTTTCATTTTTTTCCTGTTTTTTTAAAATTAATCTAATGTTGCCTTTGATCCTTTTAAATTCTCACTCCGTAAATATATTTTTTAGTTTTTTATTTTATTTTAATTATTTTTAAATTTTTTCTAAATCATTGATCCGTATTATCCAAAAATCCTGATCGAGATCTAAGGTGGAGGATCCATCCCACCAATTTGTTTTTTTCTAAACACTCAATTCTATGATACATGCATACCACAAAATATGGTATTACGTTTACTTAACCATCCATTTTCGTATGAATGGACGGCTGGGATCGGCTGCTCCTCCACTGCTCAAGAAGTGAGGGCATGGGACCGTAAATGATAATAGTGCAAATTGTAGGGCAAGATACTCGATTCATAATTGGGAGATGATATCTTCACGACTTACCAAGTTGGATAGACAAGCTATCTTGATTTTTATTTGAAACTTGGATCTTGATCATGGACCAGTCACCTCTCGAACTGGTTTGGATCAGCGATTTGGATCATGTTAATTTGAAGTAGTTTGGTAGGTGAGATGGGTGCATGGACATAACTATATGGCAATAAAGAACTTAGACCAAGGGAATTAAGTCATTTTTTGTTTCCTTAGACCCGGATCGGCCCCCACATATTTCAAGTCAAGCTCGGTGGCTCCGGTTCGACCTGCCCTTTCTTAAAGGGTGTGATTTGTATGGAGCCGAGGCTCTAAACAATCAAAGTGGAACACACCTTCAAATAGTGTCCAAAAATATAGTTTCAATACTGAAAATCTACATGATAGTTTTAAAATATAGTTTTATCTCTGATTATAAAATGTAAAGCTTCAAAAATAGTATAGATTGAGTAGATCTATGAAAAATTAAAAATTAACAGTCAAAAAATACATTACAAGATGCACTATTTTCAAAACTTGAAATCCATTTTTTCTCATGTCCATGCATCTTGATGTCGAGATGATCAACTTGAGGATATTTGGGCATCAAAACAACCTCTTCTAGTGAAATTTTTTAGGGTGTGCTCCAGTTTGATTGTTTAGAACCTGAGCTCTATATAAACTTTTTTCCTTAATTAAAACATGAATAAAGGATATTTTCCAATGGGTAAATTTCTATGCTTATCCTACAGCATAAAACTTATATACTTCCCCTTATCCAACCGTCCATTCTGAATGGAGGGCTAAGATTGCCTCAATTACTATGCAACATATTAACACTATTTTATTTTTAATTTTTTTTTTATAAACTATTTTGACACAAAATTTTAGACATCCAATCCTCTATTAAACTCGCACTAGCAAAAAATATAAAAAAATATTTCTAATAAAATAAAATGATCAAAATATCCGTGAAAATTTCAAAAGGTATTTTGATCATTATAGTTTATCAAAAAATTATCTTTAATATTTTTACAGGTGCAACCCAATGAGAATATGACACATACCAAATTTCATATTCACACAATTTGTATAAAAATAACTAAAAATAAAATACTTTAAGACATCGGATCTAAGATCAAACGTCGAGTGGGCTCTCTTTATCAAAACTAGGACGGCTGGGAAGCATAGATCTTCTAGGCCGTAAAACCTTTCCCTTTTCCGAGACAAGAGCTAGTTGATGTTAGCGTGCTACCTATTTCATCATTTACAGTTATTATGGGTCCGTCTTCGCCTCTCTCTTTTTCTTGCATGCTACATGTGGCATGGAACAACTTCTCAGGTGCGATGAAAAGGGCCCTGAATCAAGGAAACGTGAGCGGAATGCTCGCGACTTTTTCATGCGATAGTGTTGGGTTGAAAGTGCAAAGTTACGCGGCATTTGGCCGTGTGCTGTCTGGACCGAGTCCATAAGTGAAGCCCAAGAGGTACATGGCGATGTCCCTCTTTTTGGAACAGGGATTGGCATCCATGGAAGATTTACTCTCACGGTTTGCAAGGTCTAGGGGTGGCAACCGGTCGGGCAGAACCCGGATCTGAAACAAATTTATGGGACTTGGATTCGGACCCGATTGGACCCATCCAAAAAATAAAAGAAATACATATTTAAATATATCTAAAATATTTATACATGTATTATTTAAATATTATAACTAAAAATATATAATTATATTTTAAAAATATTATATATTAAATATTATTTAAATAATAACACTATTTTGGTCAAGTCCAAGTTTAGATCCACCTGGACCCTGGTCCTGGATCCAAATAGTGTTTGGGCCCAATATTTGGACCCAGACCCCACCCGTCAGGTCCAATTTTTAGACCCATACCTAGACCTAGGTCGGGTATGGTGGTCGGATCCCATGTCCGGTCCGAGTCCATTGCCACACCTAAGGGTTGGGGTTAAAGGGGTGAGGTCCATGTCGACATTGAGTGTGGCTCAAGATAGGGGTGGCAATTGGTCCAATTGGGTCCAAGTTTGATTATGGATCCATGTTTTGGATTTGGCTCGGGGTTGACCTACCCTGACCTGATACTAAATTAATACTAAATAATATGCAAAATATATTTTTTCTTTTAAAATTTTTCTAGATCTAGGTCCGGGTTGGGTTTGGGTCAAAATAACTTACATCTGATTCTGGTCCAGGTTCGGTCCGAGTCGAAACAACTTAGACCCGACCCGACACATTGCCACCCCTAGTTTAGGACTAGTCTGAAACTATTTGGTGTAGATCCAGTTGGATTTCATTTGAAATTAAATTACATAATCATCATTACCTTATAAGAGTTCATCCAACTATTTTGGGTCGGCTACACGAATCCTACTCCACTATTCTGATCTATCAAGGATCATATTCTTAGTCAAATCATAAGTCACTATATGTCTTTTACTATTTCCATTAATACCTTTTTGGGTCTTCCCTTATAGAGCTTTCTAGTTGAACCACATTGCTTATCTCAATCGATGTTGTTGACGTTGCATATGTAACGTTGCATCAATGATTTATAAAAATAGATGTGACAAAAGTTTCACGTTGGTTGACAACCTAACAAAACCCTCCTTTTTCTGGGCTTGGGACTGGCATGCTCAGCTTGAGACTAATCATGGTACAGTTAGGGTTATGTTAGAGTACTCATATATATAAGTATTTTTGTAGTATGTATTTTTGGATACTTGATACCATTACCCCACCATGTAGTACATTTTGGCTATATGTATTTTAGGTAATTAATCAAAGATAAAGTAAAAAATTTTGATAGAAAGATAAGTATTTATAGTGGATGATGACATCATCTACCTAAGGTATAACTATTACCTACATAGATCAATGATTGCTTCTTAACCATAAGTAAACTGCCACTAATTTCTCATAGAAATATCTATATTACTCATTTTAATGACAAAAAATGCCCTTATTCAAAAAAATGTTGTATTACAAAATAAGGGGCAATAAATATCCAAAAATATTGAATACATTAAAAATATACTCTTATGTATGAATATCCCAACATAACCTTAAATTAAGTTATATAATAATAACCGTAATACGTAAAACTCAAGCAAAGTTTCCATGCATCAGTCGATACACGTGATCAAAATGTTTTTGTTTTCCATTATTCTTTAAATATGAAATTCATATCCAAAATCTCATAGGTTGATAATCTCAACAACAATCATCAATCAAAAACAAAAAAGTTCAAACCCTAAGAAGGGTCTGGTTTATAGTACCGTTCATTATAATTCTCTTTAGATCATCATATATAGTTCATGGGGCCATAGAGAAAAAGTAAAAATCCATTGATAATGATTTAAGATGTATTTCTTATCCTAAATCCATGAAAAAACCAATCACTTGACACTCAATTTTACAATTGATTGACCCTATTCTAGACTGGACTCAAAAAAAGAAAAAAAAAATTTAGTAACATGTTTTTTTCTTTTTTTGGGATAAAGCAGTGAAGGAGAAGGCCCTCTTCTTGTTTTTCATTAATAAAAGATATGAAAAATTGTACCAGACTATTTTATAACCCTACAATAGGGTAATTGCGCCACATTATGAAGTAAAGGAAGGTTAAGAAAATATGGGGGCCTAGAGCCCCAAATGGTGGCCTCCATAAAAACTGTAGCCGTTTTTTAGCAAAACCATTATCCACCATATTAGCGTCACGATAAACATGAAAAATAGACCATGATTGATTTTGAAGTTTAAACTTGCAGTTAGCAGCTATGGTATGAAGAGCCCAAGGAGCTTTACACCTACCATGAATAACTTGGACAAGTAAAGAAGAGTCGCTCTCAATTTGTAGGGGAAAGCAGTCCATTTGAAAACCTAAATCAACACCCTCTTGTAAGCCTCAAAATTCAGCATAATTATTGGAAGCAATTTCAAGAGGAATCGAAAAAGCAGCAATGAAGGACCCCTCATCTTGTCTGATGACGCCTCCACAACCAACTAGACCTAGATTCTGAGTAGAAGACCCATCAACATCTAACTTAAAATGATGTGATTGTAGAAAAGCCCATGCCACTGTTATGGGTAGCTTGCTCCTTTGCTGCCGCCATGTAAGACATAAGTTCTCAATAATTGCCTTTTCTGAGATATGGTAAGTCCAAGCCTTAGCATCTGCTAGATCATGACTACGACAAGCAGTCCTTCGAATCAACTTTTCACGAGTGAGTGTT